TGTAAGTGGTGAATATTTACCTGGCCGCTTGGCGGCCTCGGTGAATAATAATTGTTAAACATTACTTTCTGCTAATATTCTAGAAACAACTACGGTCAATGCTAGTGTTTTGTCAAAGAAAAATAATAGTATGATGACAAAATAGTGATAAAAGATAAGATAAAACACTGCTTTTCTGCTAAAGGAACTGGAACATAGTCGCCTGTGACCGTGAACTAAAAAATACCAAAAGTTCATCTTTTAATGAGTTTCAAAACTAACATGATTTGACCCTCGAAAAGGATTGAAGCGCAGCAATATACTTTATAGACTTCTCGTCTTTGAGGGCATAATCGAAACACGCGGTGAAAGGATTATGTTTATATAAATTTCGCAAGGAAGGAAGAACAGTCTGTCATTTTTGTCGCGAGCTATTTTGATTTCTACTCAGTGATNGGATTGAAGCGCAGCAATATACTTTATAGACTTCTCCTATTTGACGGCATAATGGAAACACGCGGTGAAAAGATTATGTTTATGTAAATTTGGCAAGGAAGGAAGAACAGTCTGTCATTTCTGTCGCGAGCTATTTTGATTTTTACTCAGTGATGAATTATATCCTGTAAACTATATCCCACCTATCTCACAGATGTTGTCCCATAAGATGACGTTATTTTTTGTGATTTTTGTGTATCTACACTTGCTTTTTCTCGAAATTAAAATATGCAAATGACTTGGCCCTCACGAGAAGGAAAAATCACGACAATTCAGGCCCGATTTGACATCTTTCCGCTAAGTTAAGTTATTCTGCCCTTTATAGGAATTCCTTCAGTTTATCATTTCAGTTCTTTATCCAAAAGAACTTCTTTACGAAAGCGTAACAAAAAGATAATAAAAAGGAGGAAGTAAAGGTTAAGATACTCATGTTCTTAATGTTTAAAGGTCCTGCAGGGAAACACAGATAATGTTCGTACAGCGGGCCACATCCTTGATCCTCCAATCATCGCTCGTTTTATTAAAATCAATGTTAAAACATACCAAGAAAGGCCGTCATTAAGGGTGGAGTTGT